ATTTAGTAAATTTGATATAAAATTAATAGTGTATATTAAATATGGGTAAAATTGACTTTTTATGTGAAACATTTTATTTAATTCAGATTTTTTAGGGTAATTATTTATGATTCATTTATGTTGTGGTATACGCCATTGTCGTTTACGCTGCCGCTATTGCCCCTGCTGTCATCTACGCTGTTGTTGTCACTGTCATTGTTGTTGTTCTGGCGGTGATTTTCATTCTCCGGGAATGTGTGTAGGCTTGGTTGATGGGTGGAAAGTCATTGGTGCTAGATGGTGGATCGTTGGTGACGGTACTTTCATCAGCATAGTGCTGATTTAATTTTATCCATTAATTAAGTTTGATATAAAATTAATGGTGTATATTAAATACGGGTAAAATTGACTTTTTTATGTAAATATTTTATTTAATTCAGATTTTTTAGGGTAATTATTTATGATTCATTTCTATTGTGGTTTACGCCACTGTTGTCGTCTACGCCGCCGCTATTGCCACTGCTGTCATCTACGTTGTTGTTGTCACTGCCATCGTTGTTGTTCTGGCGGTGATTTCCATTCTCCAGGAGTGTGTTTGGGTTTGGTTGATGGGTGGAAAGTCATTGGTGTTGGATGGTGGATCGTTGGTGTTGAGAGATGCGATGGTGAGTAGTAATTTGCGTTCAAGTAGTATGGGAGGATTGAGCGGAGGGCGGCGGCGATGGTGGAAGAAGGGTAGTGTTATTGAAAAAGTATCTGTCGACAGCTGATGTCGTGCTGAATAATATGGTATAAAATGTTCTTTCATGTACACATAAATGCTGAAATCAATTAAACAAAATGTTGATTTACTTTAATTAATAAAAATCTGAGTATTTTTATGCAACAATAAATACTAAATTTTTTATACAATCTTAAACCTACCTGCAAACTCCTATTATATGCATATGTACACTATAAATTATAAGTAACATCTGGTTTTGTTAATTAAATTGCATGTCAATCAATGAATCATGTTTATATTAGATGCTGAAAAATATCAAACAATATGTTGTCTATTGAATAATAAAATGTTGTTACATATTTTAGATGCGAATTGTTGTATCAAGTAGTATATAACATAATATGAAATGCTCTCTCATGAACACGCAAATGCTAAATTCAATTCAACGAGATGCTAAAAATTTTTAATTAACAATAATATAAATATTTTTGTACAAAAAATGAATGTTGAAATTTTTCTTGATCTTAATCCATACTAAAAACTCCTATACATACTCATAATAAAAATTATAAAATTTTGTTAATTTCATTGTATGTCAATCAATTGATCATATTTATATCATATGCTCAAAAACGTCAAACAATATGTTGTCTATTGATTATTAAAATGTTGTCACACATTTTAAGAAATGTTGAGTTTTGTATCGAGTTGTATAATATAGTATGAAATGATTCATATGCATACGTAAATGTTAAATTCAAGATGCTAATTTATTTTAATTAACAGTAATTTATATATTTTGATATAATAACGATCGCTAATGTATATTATTCAAATTTTTAATAGATGCAAACGAGATTTTGATATTTGGTTGTTCTACATATTTTGAAAAATTATGAAATAAACAGGTTATTGAGCGAAGGAGATGAAATATCTGAAATTTTTATTTATTCGATATCGTCATTGCTTTTTGAGGAATTTATTGCGGTTGGAATAATGGCAAATAAATTTTGCTCGTCTTTATCAATCTTATTCAAAATTTTGTTGAAAGATTATGTTTTTTTTTTTTTTTTTTGGTGCGGTGTTGAAATTACAAAAGAAGAAGATAAAATAACAACATACGAAAGAAACGGGAAAAAAAAAGAAACAATTACATAAATTACTTCTAAGTAAACTATTTTTATACCCCTAAATTAATATAAGCTTTTAGATTAACTTTTATAATCCAATAGCTATTAATGAATCAGCATAATGCTGAATATTATGTTTTAGCATGGGATCCCACCCCGGCAGAAGATGATGATGGTGGTGGTGGTGATGGTTATTATTATTATTATTATTATTAGTATTATTATTACTTGGTATTTCACAATATATTTATTAATTCATTTTAATTATTGCTAAAATTCACAATTCATTGAGGAAGATCGCATGTTTGGCATGATCGTATGAGTTGAGGTATAACTTTATTTGGTACTAAAAAAATAAAGTTAGAAAAATAAAATATGCAACTAGGCCGTGATTAATCATCTCATACCCATACTAATTTAGCTTTTGATGCGTCGTGCTAATTCTTCGTTTGCCGAGATACCCAGAATGCATTCATCGTGGATGAGCTATTTGTGACCCCCTCATTCGTACGCAGTTGGGGTCCATCACTATCCAACTTATCACCAAAATCGTCTACTCTAGTACTTAAGGGCCTGCGAACAATGGTTTTGTACCTTGAGTTGAATCGATCCTGCGTAAAGTGGGAAATTTCAATTGAGCTCCATCACCGCCTACTACGATTGTTGAACATCTCATGGTAGAAGCCGAAGTGAGCAAATGGTTGCATTAGTATATGACCATCCGGCTTGCGATTGAGTAGTTGCTAACATTGTCACTGCGTTAATACGAAGCGAATCAGTCTTACCGTTAACCATGCAGCTTTATGTGCATCATTGGCTACAACATGACCAGTATCAGAGTCTCAACCAAGTCCAGTCTTATGTAAGGTCGTGTAGTAGATTGTAAATAATTTTCAATTGCTTGAATTTTTCAGACAACTACTTTTGATCATAGTCGCAACTGGTTTCCCAAAATATTCGTTCAGAATATCATTCTATACCGCATGAGTGAAATTTTTGTTCTTAAGCTCTTTATTTAAACATATTGTATGCCTATATTTATTTGATTATTTTCTATGTTAATTTATTCCAATAATAGTATTTATTGTATATTATTTGTAAAATATTAATTTATTAATTTTAGGTGTATTTTATAGTTATTTTTGTATATAAATTGATTTAATTGATGTGCTTGCTGAATATGTATTTTAGTATTATTTATGTGTTATTTAAATATTTAATTAGCTAAATTAAAAAAATTATTAGAAAGTATAATTTAAATATTTAATTTAGCAAATTACTTAATTAATCTTTTTTACATAGATATTTTATTTAAATAAATATTTATGGTATAATTTTCATGAATGCCTAAATCTGCATTAATACAATGCAAAAATCAGTAGCATTTATGGCTTGAGTCAGCAAAAATCTATGAAGAATAACCATTAATTGAGCCCAGTGGCAGTCAATTTAAGCTATTGAAATGTCAACTCAAAAATTGTCAAAATCAACGGTTAATGCTAGCGAGAAAAAGTCAATGTAAGTGGACAAAAAATCAGCATAAGCAAAGAAAAAATTAATTGACAAGCGCAAAAATTTGAATGCGCGGAATTCTATGTATAGAAATCAGCGAAGCAGTAGCTGCATTAATCTGAGCGATTGCATTTATAAGCGAGAAAAGCCCGCGGAACATTTAAGAGAGAGCATTAATTCTGCACAAACATTAGGGAAACGACGCATATATGAGCAATAGATGCATTAACTTTGCACGGAAGTTAACAATGTTTATTCATGTTGCAATTACTCTGTTGCATTTTCTCAATTCCTGTATTTACTGTCATGTAGTTTGTCAGCTTCTCCACTTACATATACTTAGCCAATTTTTTATTATTTTATATATTTTTTATTTCAAAACTTTTTTGAAAATAGATAATTATTAATAAATTATAAATAGTTATTAGTAAGTTATAAATAATTATTTCAAAATAAATAATTTATATATAATTATAACGGCCTTCTCCCGATGCCCCCTTCACATACATATATATATGTATGCATATATGTATGCACATATACATACATATACAATGTATATATACAGTGTATGTGAGAGAGGCGGGGCCTGGATGGGGAGAGGCTAGTGATCCTCGACCATATAACTATACATACAATTTATCATTTTATACATACAATATATTCTATTTTTTAAATTTTTTTTCTCATACTTTTATATAATTTATTAATGAGTTTTCAGTTTTTGATTCATAAGCAAGTTGATTCTATCATATTTTATTTTATTTTTATTTTTTAAATTTCTGTATTTATTTTAGCTAGTAGAATTTTTTATCATATATCTCTACTTCACTATTACCTAAAATTTTCATGTTCAAAATTTCAGTTTTGATTCATTAGCAAGGTTGTGAAAAAGCGGTACAAGGATTAACTATTCATGCTTATAATTGTGTCGCAATAACAAAGATTATGTGGTTTGTAACAGCTAAGTACGAAAAAATCTTGTCGACCTGTTTAGTTGTGAGCTGAATTTGATCTAAATTAAAGAATGTATCAAAACGGTAGAACTACTACCGGAACGGTGCAAGAATATATCAAAACGGTAGAACCACTATCGGAACGGTGCAAGAATAGTTAATTGGACATACACAGTGTCTATTAGGTCTTAGAAATATCCAGTGACAATGAACTTTCTTCTAAATAATGTTATCCGTCGAGTCTCACTGAAGTCTTATATATTCTAAACTGTGACGAAGAGAGTATATTAAAATTAAAAAAATATATATATATCAAAACTTCTTATAAAATATTGTACTCTCTCCTTCCCACATAATTTGTTTTTATTTTATATTTTCGTCCGTCCCACATAATTTATCAATTCATTTTTTGGAAATATAATTATACACTTTAATCTCATTTTAAATTTTAAATTTTATAATTTTTTAATTTTAATTAAACTATTTAGTTATGTTAGTCTTAATCTATAATTATTTTTATTATATAATAATTATTTTTATTAATACACTTTTTAATTACTTGCTAATTATATTTGACTTAAATTTTCGTATTTACGTTGATAGGTCCATAATACATGAGACGTACAGAGTAACTTTTTAATCTATTATAAAATGTAAAGAAGCGTTGAAATGGGACGGTAGCACTATATAATAAAAAATAAAGTCAAGCGTGGTTTAATCGACATGATACCATGCCGGAATGTAGATAATATAGGTTTATGACATTATGTGAGTCAGCAAATCTATACTACAATTATATATTCTGACAGTATCAGAAAAATTAACACAGTACCCATTCAATTCCCTTTATCTACTACATCTCTCCTGCGTGGGTGGTCAACAAAGTACTACGCTTGTCGACTCCTTCCCGGGCAGTTAGGCCGATCCACCCTGCCCTGCCCCGACCTCTTTTTCTCTCTTTCCCATTTTCTTCTTCTTCATTTCATTTCCCCAATGTGCGCCGCCGTGCTGGAGCGCTCCCTCATTCGGCCCTCCCCCGCCGCCGTGACGGAGCTCACTCTTCCCCTCCTCCACTTCGACCTCAGCTGGATCTACTTCCCCCCCATCCACCGCCTCCTCTTCTTCGATCTCCCCCATCCCCACTGCTCCCGCCATCATTTCCTGCAATTCATCGTCCCCCGCCTCAAACACTCCCTCCTCCTCACCCTCAACCATTTCCTCCCCCTCGCCGGAACTATTGTCCACCCCATCGCCTCCTCCGCCAGGCCCTTCTCCCGATTCCTCCTCGGCGACGCTGTCTCCCTCACCATCGCCGAGTGCAACAAGGACTTCAAACACCTAACCGGAAATCACCCCCGCGTCTCCGACGAGTTCTACGCCTGCGTCCCTCGCCTTCCTCCGGCGACGAACACCCCCGACGCCGTCCTCTTCCCCGTCCTCGCCTTGCAGGTCACGCTCTTCCCCGATCACGGCGTTTGCCTCGGCTTCGCCAATCACCACGCCATTGGCGACGCCAGCACCATCGTCCGTTTCATCAAAGCCTGGGCCTCCGTCAATCGATTCGGCGGCGACCGGCGGCTGATCGACGAAAAATCGCTCCCCTTCTACGACAGGACTTCCGTGGAGGATCCCGACGGATTGGACTCCACCTACTGGAATCTCCTCAAAAAACCGCTGCCGGTGGAGCCCCGGCCGCCGCCGTTCCCTCTCAACAAAGTCCGGGCGACTTTCGTCATCACAAGAGACGACGTGGAGAAGATCAAAGGCTTTCTCCTCACGAGACGACCGGAAATGCACATCACCGCCTTCACGGTGACCTGCGCCCTGGTTTGGGTGTGCCTGGTGAAGGCGGAGACGGAGGCGGTTGCAGACGACGAGCCGGAGTACTTCGGATTCGCCGCCGATTGCCGCGGCCGGCTGAACCCGCCGCTGCCGGCGACGTATTTCGGGAACTGCCTGGCGTTCGTGAAGGCGGAGTCAACTCACGGTTTGTTGAGAGGGAAGGACGGATTCATGGTGGCGGCGGAGAGGTTGGGGCAGGCGATACAGAAGACGGTGTACAACGAGAAGGGGATTCTGGACGGGGCGGAGCATTGGCCGGCGGAGTTCAGGAAGCTGAAGGGGAAGCGGCTGTTCGGAGTGGCGGGGTCGCCGAGATTCGATCTGTACGACGCCGATTACGGTTGGGGGAGGGCGAGGAAGTTCGAATCGGCGTCCATTGACGGCGAGACGTCGATGTCGCTCTGCAAGTCGAGGGACTGCGATGGTGGTTTGGAGTTCACTCTCTCCCGCCCCAAGAACAAGTTGGATGCATTCGCAGCAGTCTTCACCCTCGCTCTGCGGAAACTCTGAATTCAATTCCAGATCACAATTGCAATTCACAAATGTGTCTTATTAATGTTTCTTCATATTTGATTGTTTAATTAATTCATTCTGACTGCTGCAGATTTCTGATTCTGATTCATGTGCAGCAGCCTACGTTGACTATTGAGGTAGTAGAAGTCAAAGGCATGTGATAAAGGTTGAATCTTGAAGATTGACTAATTCTAAGTATCAAGAACCGAAGTTATTCCATCCTGGTCGGATTCTGGAGATGCCGTATATCACTTACTTTGAAATACTTGTATAGAATTAGTAATTTTTTTTATTTGTTAGTGTTTTAGTAACAAATTTTATAGCAAAGAGTGAGTGGTTAAAAGGCTAATAAAAAGTTTGGTAGGTAGACCGAACTTTCACATTTAATATAATAAAATTAATTACTGAAATGATTGCTTGTGTTTGTGCATTTTCTGCCAATAGGCGACGGAAAAGAGAAAAGTTACTCTTAAATCTTACCTTTTTGTTTCTTACGAGATTTTTTATATGAAAGAAAACTTGGTCAACTGTCATAACTAACAAAACTAACTAGCAAGCAAGCACGAACCCATCCAGGGTCCCTGTCCCGTTATCGTTTTCGGTCACTCTCTGTCTGGATTGTGAAAGGTTTTGAGCTCGGCAGATGATGATGATGGTGCATATAGCAATGAATGAATGAGCCATGCCATGCCTTCTTCACCTCCTCATTAATGATACTCGTAATCACTGCTAGCTTTAATTTTCTCTCACTGTTCCTTTCCCTTCCCCGCACCCGCACGCTTCTTTTTAACTCACGCTTTTAATCTGTTTAATCCACCTATCCTCTCCCCCATTTGCATCTGCTTCTCAAGATCTGACTTTCGACGACGATTCGATTGGGGCCCCCCTCCACCAGTCAACTTTTTCACTCTTTTCCAGGTTATAGTTTCTTCTTGTTCTTGTGTTACTCTGCTTTCGATTTCCACTTAGAACCTCTATTTCTATTTTAATTATGGATTTAATATCATTGAGAATTGAGAACCCCGGTGCTGTGGTCACTGAGGTTGATTGATCCGCCGCAGTCGCCACTCGCCAAACATATAAAATTGCGATTTATTTCGTTGTTTGGATGTGTTGTGAAGTGGAAAGGATCAAAGAAGAGGTTTATCATGCAGGGGGTTGGGTCCTTCATTTGTGAGATGCCCTAATCGTGGGCGAATCTGTTTATTAAGATGCTGCTGATGTGTTAGGGTTTGGATTATTATAATTGGGCAAACTTGTGAGAGGTGTTTTTGTGTTTACTTTCCAGAATATTGTCTTAATATTCTGATGATCGGGCTGGGTGATGATGGATTCGATAGTATCTTTATTTAGTTTATATCAATATTTCAGAACAGTGTAATCTGTTTATGCCCAGTAAGTTTGAACAGAGAATTCATGGGAAGACAATAAGCTATTCTTTCATCTCTAAGGTGGATCATATCATCCACAAGACAAGAAATGCTGCTGATTATTCTTATTAGGAAGTTTGTGTTGGAATTGTTGTCTTCAGGTTAGAAATGTCGAATTTGGATTCTGAGGAATTTATCAAGCAGTTTTACATCCCAAGATACATATTCGAGCCAGAATTGGAGCCCAAGAACTTTCCCGAAATACCAGAATGTCCTGTTCTGGTATTTATCAACTCTAAAAGTGGTGGTCAGCTTGGTGGAGATCTTCTCACCACATTCCAGTCTATACTTCATGAGAAGCAGGTGTGAAATGTTGTTATTTATCCTTGTAATTTAATTGTTTGGATTGCATAAAATTTTTGGTTTATGGTGGTATGATTTTATTATCCATTTCTTAAGCTATTAAAAATTGTAACTATCTCATAGTTTTTTAGGTTCTCTCTAATTTGGAAGGCTTCTTTGTCATCCACTGATCTCTTAACTATTTTTTCAGGTTGTAAATTTAGCAGAAGAAGCTCCTGATAGAATACTGCATAGTCTTTTCCTCAATCTTGAAAGGCTCAAGAATGATGAGGATAACATTGCTGCAAAACTGGAGGAGAACTTGAAAATAATTGTAAGTTGTGACTCTACGATAACAGGGAAGTTTGTCTTTCCCTTTCAAGGTTCTTACTTACAGTCCTGGCATGTAAATGTCTCACAATTGGTAATCCATAGGTTGCAGGCGGAGACGGGACGGCAGGATGGCTTCTAGGGGTGGTTTCTGATCTAAAATTATCTCAACCGCCTCCAATAGCAACAGTGCCTTTAGGAACTGGAAACAATTTGCCATTTGCGTTCGGTTGGGTATGGAAATATTTCTGTAGTTTAAGATGCTGCATCAGTAGATTTACTGTGCTTATCACCTTTTTTTTTGCTTATATTGCCTGCAGTTTCTGAATTAAGGACCATTGCTATTTAATCACAATATATATATATATGCAACTAAAAATATGTCTATTATCGATAAAAGGAAACCAACTTAACAGCGTCAAAAGGTGTTAGTTGAGCTTCCAACTATGCAGAACATGGTATAATATCTCCCAGGTTGTACTTCTTTCTGTAAACGACAATGGTACACCTCTAGTTTGGTCCACTTCTCCACATGAACAAAAGCTGTAGAAATGAATTTTGTTCCCGCTGATTTTATCATCTTTAGATTGTTCATAATTTCATACATCACCACTGATTAGATATTATTAGTATTAACTACCAAGATTAGTGCCTAGAATTAGTGCTTTCATTTTGTGCTTTGGGTCTATCCATTTTGGCGAATCTTGTATGTACCATGTATAATCCCAAAGCAATTCATCTCTTTCACTCTTCCAATTCTGACAGTTATGAACCCCATACTAAATGAATTTTTGAGTAAATGATGCCTTGCACTATTGAATTTCAGGGAAAGAAGAATCCAGGAACTGATCGTAATTCTGTGCTCTCATTCTTAGATCAAGTGAAGAAAGCAAAAGTAATGAAAATAGACAGGTAGCTTTTCATTCAACTTAGATGGATTTATATTTGGATTTTCTAAGAGTTATGAGTTTTAGCTACAGTTCCAACATGAAAACATCTCTGTTTCATGTAATTATCTTCACTTAGCAAATTAGTACTGCATAAGATGAGAATTGAACACCACTAATATGTAACATGGTCACATTCCATTCCGTTTCCAACAATTTGTACTTAAACTGAATGGGTTCTTGAATGTCTTAAAGTCTTAATACTGTAGGTTTCATAACTTGCAACCAGGAAGGAGCTGAATTCTTTAACTTCAGAAATATGTTTCATTAGATGTATCCCTCATCTGTTACCTTTATTCTTCACTGCTCTATATTTTCTTGACAATTCACAGGAACAATAATTTTGTGATACTTATGATTGCTGCAGTTAATTACGCATCCTGAAACTTTAAATATCTCTAGGTTGCAGAAACATCGCCTCCATTTTCAAGCTCAACAAGCTTGCAAAATTTCTCTCTAAGGACCAACTGCAAAATCCATTTATTCCCCAAGTTTAAATTTTCCACAGAATTAGTGTCACAAAGTCAAGAATATGTTACTCATGAGATGATTGATTAATAGTGCGCTATATAGAGGCATTAACAGATTATAATTTCCTAGATTTTTACTCTCTTTGTCTTGGTTATTCTAAATCCAGTTGGCATATTCTCATGAGAATGAGAGCACCAAAACAAGGCCCCTGCGAGCCAATTGCTCCTCTAGAATTGCCACATTCATTGCATGCATTTCATCGGGTTTCTTCAACAGATGATCTCAATGTGGTGAGCATTCCATCTTTAGTTGAAGCAGTTGTGATTCAAGACCAAATTGGTACATAACCACATAGTTTCTTTGCTTATCTCCCTTAACATGATACATTAGAATGTAGTCTTGATGCAAATCTTCAGTACATGAACAGTTAATGGTTGGTCGGTTGGTCCAAGTGGCCTTGATCTATGAATTACTGGAAGGATCATCTTTTCAAATTTTGCAACAGTAATTGAAAGAGTGGGTGCTTGTATCTCAAGTAACTTGTGAAATCAATTGTACAAACAAATATGTGTATACTTTTCTTCACTTATTTGAAATTATAACAATATTATGCTACTTTTAGGCAGCTTTCATGTTCAATATGTGATTGATTTCAGGAAGGATACGATACATACCGTGGAGGATTTTGGAACTATTTCAGCATGGGTTAGTATGTAATGTGGTTCAAAATGTTTAAGCTAAAAACATGTGTAATCTAATCCTCTGCAAACTAGAATCCTGTGTAATTTTGCTCTTTATGTTCGGTCATTGTGTCAATGTTAATTGTTGATGCCTGCTAAACCATCTTGAACTGCTCTGGTTGATATTGGGACACTGGGCTCAGGAACTAGAATTACCATTGGCAGGAGCTGATAAGATGTTTGTTCTCAATTTCGTTTTAAATTTGTACCTATTTACCGCATCCTGATCAGAAACAGTTGCACAGATTTCATTTACTCTTCACTTCCCCTCAATTATAATAGAATATATTTGTTGGTCCTTCTGCCTGAATTAGAAATCTCTCATATATAATCATGTAGTGAAATTTCCGAACTTCAAAATCGACAATTAGATATCCTATTCTATATGCTTGTCCTGATCAAGGAATCATTATATACAAAAATGTTATTCCATTGTTAAAAGTCTAATAAGAAAATGTCTAATTAGATATTGGTGATTTTCTTTTGGTTTCATTGCTCAATCTAAACTATGAAACTAATTATAAATCTTGTTATATGTTATCAAATACCTCAGGAATGGATGCACAGGTATCTTATGCATTCCATTCTGAGCGAAAGATGCATCCAGAAAAATTCAAAAACCAGCTAGTTAATCAGGTATGATCATCGAATTTAAATCTATATACCCTTATTTCTTATAGTCATATTTCTTTCTGTCAACTTCATTCTATTAATTGCTCAAAGCATTCATTTCTAGCTAACATGTACACAAGAGTCTAAGGAAATGATCTGCGTATCTTTCTGCTCAATGCTAGTTGCTTCTAGATTTTCCCTTACATAGAGTTTGGGAACTGATTTATTGTTTTGTCTTTGGTTAATTTCCATGAATGTTGTCACTTGGTTATCTCTACATTACAGATTTTCATGTATAAAGCCTCTGGTTATTTTGTTGTTTTTCTACCCATTGTGTCTTAGCTTGGACTAGTATTTCGTTATATTTTATTGTGTATAGTGTCATGGTGATTTATTGCATCCAAGCTTATAATTCTTATTGTTGTCTTAGAGTACCTATGCGAAGCTTGGATGCTCACAAGGATGGTTTCTTGCTTCCCTCTTTCACCCTTCTTCAAGGTTGGTTTATAATCTTAATGATATGGGGACCTCTGCCTAATGCAGTTTGCAGTTGTAAAATTATTTTAAGGAAACCTAAAAAATTTGCATTGTATTCATAATAAATAAGCCTATAAATAGACATGACTCGATAGATTAAAATAATAAAGATATAACTATAAACTAATTCACTAAAATATGTCAAAACACAAATCATAGCTTAGGATGCACCACCCAGCATTTTACGTTTTTGCTATATCTTGTTAATTTTCATTTCTTTTACAGTAAGTTGTAGCCTATTTGATTTTGTGGGATAGTTTTGAACATCTGCGGACCAACCTTACGCACATCAAATATTTATCTTAGCTCGTTTTCAATGATTAGAGTTATCTTAATAGTATACTTTTCCTGGCCACCTTATCTCTTTGTTTGGGGTCTAATTGTTATCGCTTACAATGCTACTATAAATTTGAAACGCATGGGCCGATGCACACACAAATACTTAGCTTCACAAATATACTAATAATAAAATTGAGTAACCATATTGCTCTGTATTGTAGACAGTACCAGAAGTTTCTGTTCCATAGCATGATAAACTAAAGAACTCACTTTGCTTGCAAAGATATAAGTCAACTTTACCTTCATTTTTCATGAAAAGAATAAGTCAAGTTTAGTTTAATTATCTATGTTCAAACTCAGATTGCCAACAACACCAGGAATACCTGTATTTCAAGGCAGCAATCTTTCTTTTATCTTCTTGTTTTATTTCTATTCTTTTCTGACAATTATTCTGGCTCAGGAACATAGCACAACTCTGCAAGGTTAAGATCATGAAACAGCATGGCGAATGGTGTGACCTCCATATTCCTCACAGGTGCTCCATTATATGCCAATATAATCTATATATCTATATTTTGTGCACGCACACTCAGGCATGTAAATTTTACTCTGCTTGAACAAATTGTTTATGTTGGTTTTACTGTGCATGTTAGCATATGCAGTCCATATTCAAAATTGTGGAACAATAGGAAGTTTGATTCAGTGCTAATTCGAAGAGCATTCAGCTAAATGTACTCTTGCAGTTTTTCTTAAACTTGAGAGTTCTACTGTTTATTTTCATACTTTTGACACTATACTGTTATGAATTTCGTTCATTAAATTTTTTACTTATGGGCATGTAGGGATACCATTATTACCTGGAACACTAACTTGGGTTTAATTTTTCCAATTTACAGCATCAGGTCAATTGTATGCCTTAATTTGCCAAGCTTTTCTGGTGGACTAAATCCTTGGGGAACTCCTAATAGAAACAAGCGTCGTGATGTTAGTAACCTCCACGAACATCCTCCCTTTATTTTCTTCTAGTCCCTCTCTTCTTTGTGAGAAATTGATGGGGTATTTGATAACCTATGCTTACAGAGAGAATTAACTCCACCTTTGGTTGATGATCGCCTGCTCGAGATTGTTGGTTTTAGGGATGCTTGGCACGGACTAGTTTTACTTGCTCCAAATGGGCATGGAAGACGCCTTGCTCAGGTATACTGTATACACATACTCTGAACCATGGCTTATTTGCACAAAGTGTGCTATCCTTCTGATTGTTATTATTGCTATTTCAATTGGATTGTATCTAGGCGCATCGAATTCGATTTGAGTTCCATAAGGGTGCAACCGACCACACATACATGAGGATTGATGGGGAGCCATGGAAACAGCCTCTTCCCGCGGATGATGATACAGTTGTAGTGGAAATTTCTCATCTTCGACAAGTGAAGATGCTGGCAGTTCATGGGTGTAGAGCTAAAAGTGTTGCTGATTGCCACAACTTGTCATCTTCTGTAGGTGAGGGTGAGGACGATGTTGATGATGGGAGGGACAGCGACGAAGATGATTCGGTGGGGGAAGAGTGGAAGAAATTTGGTGCAGCAGAGACGTTCAAGATCCCTGATGGGATTGACATTTCTCATCTCAGTTGAATTAAACATGGAGTGTCGTGTGCATATACATATATTTAATCATAATCTGAAAGATTCGATACACATTACCGAATGGATGAATTATGATGGATCAAAGTGGTTGAGAATTGTGAGGATTTGTTGTAAGAAAGAACCTGTATTTGGAGGTCCTATGGTCCAATTCTTCATTTGTGAACTTCGTGTTCCTCTCCTCCTATGGCTTTAAGATCTGATCTGGGACCTGAAGCATGAACTTCTCTTTTCATAATAGAGGAATATCTTTTTTTAACTAACACACGTAAAAGAGGTCTAGGATGGTTTGATATGGCCTACAGTCCTGAATGCTATTTCATACCTAATAATCAATATAATAAACTAAATTATCGCTATATACTTATATCAAAAATATCAAATTATATATTATTATTATCAAAATTTTTGGTAAACTATAACTTAAAAATTTTACATATGGCATTTACAATATTTCGTTGATGGAGTAGTTTTGGTGCAAATTGGATTAAATATTATAATTAATTTTATTTTTTATTTTAATGACGTGTGAATCCCGATACTCGAAAGTAGTAGGTAAACTATCTGCCGAATCTAATACTATGCAAACTAAGCCAAACACAATTTGATCATATTATTGATGGATCACATGGTATCGAATCATATTTTATAATACTCTTTCCATCCTATAACACACTATTTATTTTTTTCATTTTAATCTTTCTCATAACAAAATATCCATTTTTTTATAATAATTTTACTATCTATCTAACATTACAAATACTCTTACAACTTATAATATATTACACAAATATCTTTAGATTTATATCGTACAATACTAATAAGGTTATTTTAATTATTTTTATTTTATTCCTACTGTATCTAATATAATATTAATATTTTTAAAATTTTATCCAAAAAGCAAACAGATACATAATAATTATGGACGGAGGGAGTAGTATATTAATAAGAAGTAAGTGGCGCACGCGGTGGCGCACGAGCAGCACGATAGCAACCATTGCATGGATACATAAATACGATACGCACACTCACATTCACTAATACATCATTCGTACAGCAACAGCAACAGCAACAGCAACGCGAGCGATCCAGCTGAGCTGCGCTGTAGTTGTAGTTGTAGTGAAAGATATTGAGTAGCTAGCGTCCGCCATGTCCACCGGTACCACTGCCCCGCCGCCGCCTACACTCACTTGCCGAGGTCGGTAACTGTACTCTACTCATATATGCATAGATGCATACCTACATACATATACATATATCTTCTTCGTCGTTCTATCTAGCTCTGCTCACCTTTTAATAAATTAATTGATTCATTCAATTCTCAATCCGATCGTTCTACAGCCGCCGTTGTGTGGGGAGAAAATCAGGATCCAAAGGTGCAAGAGATACAAGTCGAGCCTCCCCGCTCCGGAGAGGTCCGACTGAAGATGCTCTTCTCTAGCATTTGCCACACCGACGTCCTCGCCTGCAGGGGGTTCCCCACCGTACGTTCTTCATCCTCATTCTCATTCTATATCTCTATGTGCATATATAATTACCTAATCTTCCTTCATTTAATCGATTAATTGTTAGGGCACTTACTTAAATTTATTTTAATTTCTCGGATCAGCCAGTGTTTCCCAGAGTCCTCGGCCATGAAGGCGTCGGGTAAATGAATTTGTTCTAATTCACCGATATGATCATTTCAGTTGAGACTTGGGAATGAGTAGAGCACAATTACAACTACAATTACAATTACAATTACAATGAAATCACTCATCGGTGTTCTTAATTGACCAGCGTGGTGGAGAGCGTGGGAGAAGGTGTAGCGAGGCTGGAAGCAGGAGATTTGGTGATCCCGACATACCTAGGGGAGTGTGGCGACGCCTGCGAAAATTGTAGATCCGGGAAGACGAACCTATGCCAGACGTATTCCCTCCAGGCATTCACCGGCCTCATGGCCGACGCCACCACTCGAATGTCGGTGCAGCTTCCCGATGGTCTCCGCATCCGCCTCCATCACTTCCTCAGCTGCTCCACCTGGTCGGAGTACACAGTCGTCGACGCCAACTACTTGGTCAAGGTCGATCCCACCATTCCCCTCCCTCAAGCCAGTCTCCTTTCCTGCGGTTTCACCACCGGTTTCGGCGCCGTCTGGAAGGAAGCCAAGGTGCACCATGGATCCACCGTCGCCGTTTTGGGACTTGGCGCTGTCGGACTCGGGGTACGGTATAACTTTTTATATGGAATCGAATCAAATCGAATTGAATTGAATTGAATTGTTTATCCTTCGATTCAATTCGTTCCTATGGCTATGAATGTATGGGTAGGTGGTGGAGGGGGCGCGAGTCCAGGGCGCATCTCGAATAATAGGGATCGACATAAACGAAAGCAAGCGCAAGGTGGGGGGAGCCATGGGAATGACTGATTTCATAAACCCTAACGACGGGGACGAGGGTAGTGATGGCAAGATGATCAAGTCAATGTCCATCTCAGAAAGGGTGAAACAGCTGACGGGGGGCATGGGCGTGGACTACAGCTTTGAGTGCACTGGAATTCCTCATCTGCTGAACCAAGCTCTCGAGGCTGCAAAAGTGGTACGCAAATGCAATTAATGTCTGATAAGGATCCATTGTTGTGTGTAGATTGTGAACTGTAAATTGTAAACTAGGGAATAGGGATGACGGTGATGCTGGGAGCGGGGACTGATAAGAGCGTGGGGATCGAGTTCGCCACATTGCTGGGGTGCAGGACAATGAAGTATGCAGTGTTTGGTGGGGTTAAGGTTCAGTCAGACCTTCCCCTTATCATCCACAAATGCATCAACAACGTACTATATATGCATTTCCAATTCTAATTCTAATTCTAATTCTAATTCTAATACATAGAGCTAGACACACGTTAATATTGTATTATTATTCTGCGACTGTGTGTGTTGTTTGTGATGCAGGAAATTCAAAATTTGGACAAGCTTATAACGCATCAAGTAGCGTTGGGGGGCATAAAGAGGGCATTCGAGCTGCTCAAGGAACCCCATTGTGTGAAGGTTATCATCAACTTTTGATTCCTTCGGCAACTAATTCCTACCATTGCTATATAGCTTTTCATTTATGCTCAAATGTTTATATATCCCTCCGTCCACAAACTAATGTCTACTTTCCTATTTGGGACGTACAACAACTATTATCCTATTTTTTTTTTTAAACACAAATTTTACATTTTTATCATTCATTTATAAGCTAAGAGTTCACATCCGAAAAGAAGGCGTTTATTACTTTTAATCTCTACCGTATTAAAACTTATAGATATATTTTAGGACAATAAAAAATGAAAGGAAGAAGTATATATTATATTATAGGGGGCATTTTCGGGCCGGCCTGGTCCGTTTTCAATTTGTGCCGGAACAGGCCTGGCCCAGTTTACGGTCGGGCCTGGGAGCTCAAGCCCGAGCACAGTCCACTTCAAATCGGTCATGCCAGCTGGGATTGTAATTTTTTTATTTTTAAGTTATTTTTTAAAAATATTTTAAAATAATTTAATAAAATTATTTATGATAGTTGAACCCATGACCTACCACTAATAAAATTCAAATTCAATCGTTGGGATTTTTGAGAGATTAGATTTTGAGTTAAGATTTGAATAGTAAAAATTTTAAATTTGAATAATTGTATGATATGACATAAATAGGTGATGATATGATATTTTGAATGTAAAATTGATTTTTAATATAATATAAAAAATAAAAAATAAGTGTTTGATTTGATATTTTTTGGGGAAAAAAATTGGATGAATAGTGTAAATCCAATCCAATCCCCCAAACAAACACACCCTTTCTATTTTTGACATACTTAATATATTTATAAAAGTATTTATTTAGAAATTTATTTAATCTAAACAATGGGTTGGGCCAAGCACGGCCCAATCTCTAAAGACTCGGGCATGGCCTAAAAGTTTTTCGGGGTTTTTTTTTTTTGGGTTAAGTATAATTTTTTTGTGTCGAGTAAGCATCGAGTTTTCGAATAGTATTTTTTTTTTTTTGTTTTGCCATGTCTATATTATATATATATATATATATAATTCAGTTTATTATAAGAAGTACTCCTTTCTACATTTTCTGGAAAAGAAAAGAAAATAAATTAAAAATAATAATAAATAATAATAATAACTTAAAAAATAAAAAGTTTTGATTTGGAAGAATTCAAATGATAAAATAAAAAATTTTATTTTGGATAGAATGAGTAACTTTTTTTTTACTATATAAGAAAAAACAACTAAAAAATATATTTACCATCAATACAATCAAGTTCAGTCACGTCACGATACTCTAGTTGCGAAACAGCCTTTATTGTTTCAAATATGTTGCAATATATTAGTTGAATATCAATCAATTTTTTTTTTTTTTTAATAAAACTAATAATAACGGATTAAAATACCAAAAAATAATAAATTTAATTAATGTAAAATATATAATACCTCTTCCATCCAATTAAAAAGTATTTTTTTAGTCTCATCTTAATTGATAGTTTTTTTTTTTTTTTTCATTTTTGTTTTTCAGATAACAATTGACATATTTTTATTTTGGATAAAATTTACTAAATCAAAATATACTTAACAAATATAAATAAACTTAATTAACTATACTTCATCCGTTTCAAATCAAACAGGTCATTTAGAATTTTTTATTATATTAAAAAATAATACTTCATATTTTATTAGTTAGCGAAAAAATGTAAGAGTTTTTGACATTTTTGTCATTTGTTTTATGTATAAAGTAATTGTATATGTAATAATATATTTGCAATTTAAACAAAAGTTAAGATATTTTTGTATTAGTACGTGATTACTTTTTTTAAAATAAAAAAATAAAAACTTTAAAATTGGACAGATAATAAAAAGAGTATTGTAAATTGGGACGAAATGAGTATAACATATAATATCATACATTACGTACATCTTACTCAATTTTTTTTGACTTTTGTCACTCTACTTAAAAAACAAATATTTTGATTTACATTTAAAATTTGACATATTATAATTAATTTAGGTTAATTATAAAAAAAAAAATTGTTTTTTTCATTTTTATTATATTAAATTTTATTCTCTACAAAAATAATTTTCTTATTGCTTATATTTTTTATCGTAATATAATTTTTAAAATATTTAAATATATATGGTATTTTTAAATTATATATATTAAATTTATCAAAACTAACAATGTTATTAATTGTATAAAAAATAATAAAATAATATCATAACTTAATATTATTAAATAATTAAATATCATTATCTTGAATGTCACTAATAAAATACGTCAATTCAACGGAAATAGAGGGAGTATATATTTACTTTTGGCCCAGAGTTTAAAAAATAATTGTATATTAATGATAGCAAGTAATTAAAAGTAATGTAAAGAAAATTTTGCATTTGCTTTTTGTGTAAAAAATAATGATATGATAACAAATACGAGTATTTGTAAAAAAAATAGAGCATATTTGAAATGATTACTTTGTATTAAAATAAAAATTTATATATTTCGTGACTAGACATAAGTAGTATTAAGGAGATATACTCCCTCTCCCAGATGAAAATATACATTTGAATTTTTATCATAAATTAAAAAATAATACTTCAATATTTGGAAGTATGTACTGTTATTTTGACATTTTTGTCCTCTATAGTTTTTATGTATATATAATGATATTTTTATAATTTATGTAAAATTTAAAATGGTTTGATATTAATATATAATTATTTTTATTATAATAAAAAATAAATATTTTTTAATGAACATAAAAAAATAAAAAGAATACTTTCATCTTGGCACCGAAGAAATATGAAATCAAAATAAATACAAATAATGACATGATCTCTTTATTTGTTGCAATAGTGTGACTTGCATGGGGCACCAAAAGTGTGAGATTCTCTGCTTCTCTTCTTATTTTTATTTTTTATTTTTTGATAATATAAGAATCCGCAGCCGCTATCATTTAGGTACGTTTTAGATAAATTTCGATCGAATATAATAATCTGTAAATTAGGTTCGACAAAAGAAATCACATTAAATAACACGACAAACAAGTTTATTTGTTGCAATAGTATGACTTGTAGAGCGCATCAAAAGTGTAAAAAATTATCTACTTCTCTTTTTATTTTTTATTTTTATAACGAGAGAATCCATGACAGACAAAAGCCATCCCTCACGGGGAAGGGCTTACTTTTAGATGTAATGATCTGAACTAAAAGCTTACTTTTACAAAATGTTCCGAAATATTTTTTATGTTAAATGTGCAAGTTTTATTTTGAAGTGTCAAATGATATTATTCCTAATCAATAGTTATATATTACAACAATTTATTTTTATATTATTTAAAATAGAAAAATAAATACCGTTTTTCTTTGGAAAAAGAATTACTTTTAAAAAAATTATTAAGATTATCTTACTCTTGCAAAAGGTTTGTTTGATTTTCGATTGAGTTTTAATTTTTATTTAATTTTAATTTTTATTTAAATAAAATATGGTATTTTATGAAAAAATAATATTATTTTTTAATTTTTATTAAAAATATGTCAACTGAATTGTACTCTTTCCGTTCCACTTAACTTGTAATATTTTTTATTTTCTCACGTATTTTGCAATATTTTCAAAATAAAAAATAATTAATATACTTTATTTCATCACATTACTCAAATAAAAAATATATATATACATTTTTTTTTTCTCATCATATCACTCAATATCCACTTTATTTCACCCACCTAAATTCTTGTATTAGAATCTAAATGTTGCTTCTTATATGGAAAAGATGGAGTAATAATTTTAATATAAAATCAAAACTAGACAGACAATTTTTAAATTTGATTTTATTTATTTCAACTATTTTTTATATTCTACTTTCTCCGTCCTAGATGATTTAGATCTATTATTATAAATACGATAATTTAAGTAGTATAATTAGTAAGTATTTAATAAGTGTAGTAAAAATAACTATTGTTAATAAAAATAATTATAAATTAAAATTAAAATAACTAAATAATTTAATTAATAATATAAAATTATAAATTATGAAATTTAAAATATAATTAAAACATATAATCTATTTTTTAAAAAAATTAAAAATTATATAAGCAAGAATAATAATTATGAAAAAATTATATGGAATTGAAGGAGTTTTTAAAAAATAAAAAATAAATAAAATCAAGTAAATGAAAAGGGGTTGAGTTATTACTTAATTTATTAATGGTGTGATTTATAGTTAAATAGTGTTTGGTCAATATTGACATTTGACACACATGAAATAAATCGTAAATGTTAATTCCTCCTCTTTATCCAAAGTGAAGATACAGTGGGAGCAACAAAAAAATGATACTCCCTCGTTCCCATGCAATATGGGTGTATTACCGTAGACACAAGAGTTTAGGTAAAGTATAAATAGTAAGTAATTAAAAAGTGTATTAATAAAAATAATTATTATTTAGTAAAAATAATTATAGATTAAGATTAAGATAAGTAAATAGTTTAATTAAAATTAAGAAAATTATATAATTTAAAATTTAAAATGCGATTAAAGTGCATAATTATATTTCCAAAACTAGAAAGAAAAGTTATGTGGAACAGACGAAAATAGAAAATAGGGACAAATTATGTGGAACGGTGGAAGTATAATTAGAGTAAGTTGGAATGTATCTATCAACGGTGGAATGAGCCTTCAAACATTGGGGCAAAATATGGATTCATTTTTTTCAATTTGATGTCTTTCTTTTATTATTATTATTTTTTCGGTGCACCGGGTGAAGAAAAAAAAAAAGAAAAAAAAACAAAGCATAAAAGTCTGACAAAAATAATGTATTTGAAACTAAAACAAATTAACATAACTACATAAATTATATTATTTTTTATTAAAAAATATTGAATATTGAAGGAGAAATTAATAAAATTATATAAAATTTATTAGTTTTCATATAAAAAGAAATTAAAAATAAAAATTAAGAACTATGGGAAAAATTATTAAAAATAAATAATTTTATTACTATTTCTTAAATTAAAAAAGTACTCCATCCGTTCCGTCACAGATGACCTCATTTCTTTTTTTATGCGTCCCACAAAAGATGATCTTAAACATACTTAATAAATATAAATCAATTTAATTAAACTTCTAACATCTTACGTACCCACTCAAAACCCCTTTATTTATATTTTTCTCTTCAATTAATAAATATTTTTTATCTACCTTTAAAACTCTTCATTTTTATAAAACTAATTTATGGTAATAATAAATAAATATATATATATTTTTTTATTCATTTGTATTATATAAAATTTTATTGTCTAGTAAATAATATCTATATTGCATATATTTTATATTTTATTGAGATATAATTCTAAAAAAATATTTAACATACCAACAACACTACACATATAAAAGATAATAAAATATTATCTTAACTTATTATTAATAACT